AGGTAAGGAAGGGAGGGGCCGGGGCCGGGGGAAGGGGAGGGGTTGTGTGCTCGCTCGCGCGTGCTCGCGACTGGCAGAGGCGTGTGTCAGGCAAACTCCAGGGTGCCATGCCAGCGCTTCCCATCCAGAGGCCGCAGCCCGTCGCACGTCGCTCGCCGCGGATTCAGTCACAATACAGACACATGGTAACCCATGTGCGAGCAGCCCCGGAGGCGGGCGTGCGGGCCGCCACAGGACGAAATCGCGGGGCCAGTTCGAACCGCCCGGCCGGCGGCGCCCCCTCACCTGAGCAGGACCTTCCCGCCCTCCGCTGCGACCGATGCCGCATCAAATGCAAACAGCAGCGCCCGCCGCCACCCGAGCCGCCCGGCCATCGACGCCAGCGCGGCCGCGGCGGCGGCGTCGGCGAGCAGCAGGAGCAGCACCAGGGCCAGGGGGCGCAGGCGGCCGGCGGCTGAAGACGAGGGGACGGCGAGCAGAGCCTCAAGCCTGTCTTTGGCGGCGCCGAGGAACAACCGCATGTGGCCGACCAGCAGGAACCTGCCGGGATGCCGGGCGGGCGGTAGGGGAAGGACACGGCCGGTTTGATTGTTGCCGGGGGCAGGGGTTTCGCAGCAGCTGGTGGGGGGTTGTTTGAACAGGAGGTGCAGCCTTGAGCGGATAGTGCGCGTCACATCAACCAGACCTGCCAGCTAGTGGCCCCCGCGTGCGCGGTGTGCACGCTACATATGTCAGAGTCTCGATGCGGCTGCCGCGGGCCCCACGGCCCGCCTGGCTCGCCCCACGCGCCTCCCATCCGTGCCGACCCACGGCCCTCCGCTTTTCGCGGAATGACTCACCAGCAGAGCCACAGGGACACCTCAAACAGGGTCGGCACCATGACCGCCCCGATGAAGACGGCCTTGAAGACGACGTACTTGACTAATCGCTCGGTCAGCCGCGACGCCTCGCGAGATGACAGCGTCCCGAGGAACAGCCGCTGCGCGCGCATGATGCAGCAGGAGGGGGATGGGCGGAGAATGGGGCGAGAGGCGGGCGCGGGTGCGGGCGGCTGTGGCTTCGTGGGGCGGCCGCCTTGTATCATGCTTTTGAGCTGGCAGGCGTGGCCGGGCTCTGCTCCTGAATGCGAGCCACGGCGCTCAGCGGCCATGGTGTGGCGGCAGGGGCGCGGCCTCGCGCGGCGGCCGCGGCGAGGGTCGCCTGCATCCCCCCTCCCCCCCCGCCAGGTGGCGCCGGCTGCAGCTTCAGGCAGCCTCGCTCCCGCAGCTTCCCGGCACGCGGCCCCGCGGCGGACGGGCCTCTCGCCGTCGGATGCTCTGGCACGCCTACCCTGACCCCTTGTGGCCGGACGGCCGCGCCCCAAAAACGCCGCGCCGCGCTCTTCCCCCACCCCCAAAACAGCGGGCACCCCAGGCGCCCACCGTCGAGAGCGTCGTTGCGAGGCAGTAGACGCTGACGCCCCAATTCAGCGCCACAAACAGTCCGAGCTCGGACTGCAGCATGCGGCCCGCCACCAGCCGCGCGTCCGCCAGCGCGCCGCCCGACGGCAGCCACCACAGCGCACCCGCCAGTGGCGGCGGCGGTGGGGG